CCCTCGTCTTGCCCCCTCTTCCTCTCCCCATCCTCCTCCCCCCTTCTCCTCCCCTGTCCTCCCTCTCCTCTCCCTCCTCGTGCCCCCTCCTCCTCTCCCCATCCTCCTCCCCCTCCCTCCCCCTCCTCCTCCACCTCACCCCTCCCTCAGTGACAGACACCCTGGACTATGGGCAGCAGAGCGAGCTGGATGTGGCGGTGGAGAAAGTGGCGTCAGGCCGCCCCGTGCACGAGGTGCAGCTGTTCAAACCCGAGAGCCAGTCGCTGGGCTTCTCTGTGGTGGGTGTGACCAAGCCGGACAACGAGGGACAGCTGGGCATCTACGTGCAGGACATTCAGCCCGGGGGCATCGCCGCGCAGTGAGTAGTTTTTACAAATCTTTAGTAATATTTTTGTTTTGTTTTATTTTTGTTTTGTTTTGTTTTTATTTGTTTTGTTTTTGTTTGTTTTGTCTTGGTGTTTTGTTCTCGTGCGATTGATTAAAGTCTTCTTTATTTTCCGCCATCTGTTCTGTCTGTTCTTTTCCCTACACTGATTGCCTATTATTGTGTTTATATGCTTGTCTTTACCAATGCAAAAGCAAGCAAACAAACAAACTAACAAATGTCAGATTTTGTTGTGTCTGTCGGTCTTTCTTTAAATTCTTCTTCTGTGATCTCGTTTTTTATGTTTGTAATGCTTAATTATTTTTCCTGTCGTGTTAACATGTAAATTATTTCCTGGACGTGCTGGGGGCACGAGTTGCTTCCCTTCCAGTTTCATCCGTGCTGTTTTGATTTTCACGATTATTTCCCTTGAACATTCTCGTCTTCGTTTAAAACTAATAAATGGTGACTTATGATTTTTCAAATTTGCCTTGGTCGCATACAGTGACAATGGTGTTACAAAGGTCCTATTCTGCACTGTCCCATGCACACAACAAACGAGAACATAACTATATTACATTATTATTACATGTTTAAACCACTCCGCATCATAAACGTTCTCACACTCTCTCTCTCTCTCTCTCTCTCTCTCTCTCTCTCTCTCTCTCTCTCTCTCTT